AACAGTACAAGACATTAAATGTGCAAACACGACACAAGAAGATTTATCTTTTCAAATATATGGAAGACTTTATTAGCTATTCTAAACACAACTAAACATAATCACGCACACACACATTCATACAGTCGCGAAAGGGAAAGAGTGAGTTGGAAAGAGTGAGAGAGAAAGTTTCAACTTTCTATATGCACGTAAGACATAACCTGAAAGGACCACCAAGCATTAATTTGAACCTTCATTTCTTAGAGAGATTATTCAATTAACATTAAAGCACCAGTTCAGTTAGAGCCTGGAGTACTTGCGCTTTGTAGTGGCTGAGGGAATTCCCTTTGTCTGCGTCGCGTCGAAGGGGGGTTTCCCGGCCGGGTCCGTTGTGTGGTTTGTTGTCTTTGAAGTGCAGGGATGGAAGTTTCGCCGCTGGTCACGTGTGATTAGCAAGCGAATGAGAGTCTTTTCCAGTTCGAAGCGCGTTGCAAAGTTAACTTTGAAACGAAACTTTTACGAAAAAGGAAATAAAGGAAAGAAATGAAAGTAAGACGAGTCGGATGGCTTGACTGAGCTGAATTGTAACCCTGATCTTGATGGGTTATTCGTCTGCGGGTCGAATTTGGTCTAGTCGATGTAGAAGCATGCGAACACGTTCTTTGTTTCAGAGATAAGCACGAACAGAACACTCTCTTGCTGGTTTTAGAGAGAGGCACGGACTTAACAGTTACAGAACTGAACGAACTGAACTAAAATCTGACAAATCTGCAAAAATCTTCTGAAATCTCTGAACATGAGGTCCTTTGTTCGGATCTTTAACTTAAACTCTAGTCCATCCTCCTAGAAACTTCAGGCCAATGGGTAATGGCATGATCTCAGGAGGTGGATCTACTTCTTTACTTATCATAATTTATGCATGGTCTGTGAGCTGGTCTCCAGCACTTAGCAGAGGCAAAAGACCATAGTTTAAACCTTATGATTATTATGATCATAAAACAAAACCTTTTACGCAGATTTCAATCAAGCCATCTTTTGAATTACGAGAATACGGTTCGTTTAAGAGCAAACGAGGCATTCACACTTCTAATGGTTGTATAACAATTACAAGAGTTAATAGTTAACAACAATTACATGGTTATTATGTGATCTAAGCATAATAACACATGAAGTGTAGGAACAACAACAATTATGATTGGTTATAGGTCCAAGAATTGTTCTGTGGTGAGTTTATATGATTTTATGTGTGAGATCTCCGATCTCAACCGCAAGGTTACTGCGAGTTCAACTCGTAAGGGGGACGAGGAGATGTGTTCTGTGGAACATCTCTGTCAGGGGATCAAAGGGGTCTTGGTTGTGAGCCTCTCGTTCCACAATTTTGGAGACGATTTGTCTTAGTAAAACCATTAACATATTGACACGTTTCTTCCTGTGGCATTCTGTTGCTATCTGCAGGACCATAAAAGTCTTCGGAGGGGGGGGGGTTTATTGTCCCCCCAAAGCAAACCCTCGGCGCCGTTCCGTGACTCTGGAATGTGGGCTCCAGAACTTTTGGAGTGTTGAAGCCCTGTGAATTAATCTCATGAGAGATTTTGATTCGCCTCGATTCTCTACAATGGAAACCATACAGTGAACAAATAACGGTTGCATTGCAAAGCTCACGCTGCAGTCAGACCGTTTTTTGTAATTTGTCATATGCAATTTATAACTAATATCCCAGGAAACAGAACGTTGGCACGATTGAATCATTGACATTTCAGCACTCCTTCAGACAGCGACTTAAGCGCAACAAGGCTCCTTGTTGCACATTAATGTTTTTTCCTTTTTTGGAAACTCACAGAGAAAAAAAATGTTAGTAACCACTTGTACGCCTGATTTTTTTTCATTTGATTTTTTAGTTTTTCATTTGATATTTGGTTTCTTTACACCTCTGTATTTGTCTCTTGGACTGCTTCCAGTTACCGACCTTTATCGCCCGGCTTTCGACTATGCTCCCGTCTCTGCCATGTACAGGAACTGGTTTTGTTCAATAAATGTTCTTATCTGCTTTTGATTTTTACATTTTATTTATCATACTTAAAATAAATTGGTAAATTTGTTTATTTTTATTTTATTTTTTCACAAATGTATGACATTTATGTATTAAGTGCATTTTGATTGCCATATGGAGTTTTAATAAAGTTGAATTAATGTAACCTTCTCTAATTTTTACTCTACTAAGTGTACACTTGCTGGTGTTTTGTTTCTAATTTACTGTTAGGCTTATTAAATAATACTAAGGATAAACAATATTTAAAAAGAATATAAATATATATAAAATTAAAATAAATATAAAATTAAATAAAAAAGTAACCCCAAAATATAACAGTGCTAAATGGGGATATCTATAGCATATAAATTAATATACCACATAAATTAGGCCTACGTGATCCACGTAAATGTGTTTGCTGGTATAATCTGCCACTGGGCCGGCCCTCTGTCAAATTTTAAAACCCAGTGTGGCCCTTGAGCAAAAAAGTTTGCCCACCCCTGTTCTAGGGGAACACCGTAGAAAGCTGAGGTTCCTCTACGGGGTGAAGGTCTGATGGCAGGTCGGAGTCACTGGAACTCTGAGCGTACCGTGATGCCATGCCCACCTCGGGACTCGATCGCGAAGCCACAGCTGAAGCGGTCTCATATGAAGCAATCCGAGTGGCACTGCCGCGGATGCCATATGCCCCAGGAGCCTCTGAAAAAGTTTCAGTGGGACCGCACTCTTGCCCTCGAACTGTCGAAGACAAGTCAGCAGTGAGTGCGCGCGCTCGCTCGTAAGCTGCGCGGACATGGTGAACGAGTCTATCTCCATACCGAGAAAAGAGATCCTCTGCACTGGGCAAAGTTTGCTCTTCTCCCAGTTGACCCGAAGGCCCAGACGGGCTAGGTGCCGGAGCACAAGGTCTCTGTGTTCGCAGACCTAATCTCGAGAGTGTGCTAGGATCAGCCAGTCGTCGAGATAATTCAGGACGCGAACCCCTTCGCGAAGGGGAACAAGGGCTGCCTCGACAATCTTCGTAAAGACGCGAGGAGACAGAGCCAACCCGAATGGGAGAACCGCGTACTGATATGCCTGCCCCTCGAAAGCAAACCGAAGAAACGGTCTGTGTCGAGGTAAAATGGAGACATGAAAGTACGCGTCCTTCAGGTCTATCGCTGCAAACCAATCCTGGGGCCGAACACATTCGAAAATGCGTTTGGCCGTGAGCATCTTGAACGGCAGGCGGTGAAGGGTGCGGTTCAAAATGCGCAGGTCCAGGATCGGTCGTAACCCACCGGTTTTCTTGGGAACAATGAAGTAGGGGCTGTAAAACCCTGACTTTATCTCGGCTAGAGGGACGGCCTCGATTGCACCCTTCGCCAGCAGGGTGGCAACCTCCGCTCTCATGATCGGGACATTGCCACCGACCACCGTAAAGCGGACTCCCCTGAAGCGGGGAGGAGACCGTGCGAACTGAATCGCATAGCCGAGCCTGATAGTTCGGGCGACCCAACGGGACAGATTGGGGAGCTCTAACCAAGCCCCCCAAAACTGATCCAGTGGGATCATCCGAGCCACAGGCGTCCCCCCGGAGGGGCAGCAGGGCGGAGAGATCGGCACAGGCGAGGGTGGCATAGCGACCCTGCGCGTGTGCGTCAAGCTCCGCGCCCTGACAGAGGAGAGCAGGGAAGGACCAGCGTTCCGCGGGGTCTGCTCTGCCAGGGGTCTGGCGATAGAGGGGGATGAGAGTGGTGTGGTCCGGAGATGGCATGCACTGTCATCCGCGCCCTCAGAGACAGAGGAGGATGAGAGTGGCGAGGCACGGGGGCGTCGCACACTGCCATCCGGCTCTGTGTGCTCAGTGATGGTGTCAGTTCTTTCTTTAACCACATTAGGGTACCGCCCACCCGTGGGTGAGCGGCGGAAAACAAAAGATTCTCCCCTGGCTTCTGGGCGGTCGAGAACTGCTGGGCAAAGTCCTCAACCGCACCGCCGAAAAGGCCAGCCTGGGATATGGGGGCGTCAAGCAGACGAGTCTGCTCAGCGTCCCGCATATCAACCAGGTTAAGCCATAGGTGACGTTCCTGGACCACATTAGTGGCCATCACCTGACCCAGGGAGCGTGCGCCCACTTTTGTCGCCCGGAGAGCGAGGTCAGTGGTGGCACGCAGCTCGTCAAACATCCCTGGGTCAGTCCCGCCCTCGTGCATATCTCTGAGCAGCTGGGCCTGGTAGACCTGTAAGGTGCTCATCGCATGCATGGCAGCAGCCGCCTGTCCTGCAGCTCTATAAGATCTCGCCACCATAGATGACGAGAACCTACAGGCCTTGGACGGGTGCTTTGCATCGCAACAGAGCGCTCCACCGCGGGGACCCCAGTGTACCCATGAGCAGCTGCGCCGTCGAGGGGGGAAACGCGGAGAAAGCTGACGAACGTTCACGGGAGGTCAAAGGAGCCTTCCATGACTTCGCCAACTCCTCATGCAGTTCCGGGAAGAAAGGAATTGGGGTTGGCTGAGGCTTTGCAGCGGCAGCCGCACCCAAAAACTAATCGTCCAACCGCGAGCGAACGGGGCAGGGCGGAGGGTTCCACTCTAGCCTGATGCTTGCTGCTGCCCGAGACAGCATAGCAGTCATTTCGGGATCCGATACGGGCAACGCTGAGACTCCCGAAGAAGGCAACGCAGCCGCATCATCACTTCCCAATGACTCCTGCTCGCCTTGTGATGCCGCGATCGACATCGCGTCCTCCTCTGGAGCGCCGAATGAAACACGCGGGACCTCCGTGGAAAGCCCCGCCTGAATCACCGCGGCACTCGCTGGTCGCAACACTGGAGAGGGGGGCGTGGTCCGAGGACGTGTCGTCGGATAACTCCACACCGTCACCCTCAGATCACCCGGTCTGCCAGCCGAACTACTAGCCCTGTTAGAGGAAGCAGAACAGGTGGTGGGTGCGGGGACTCTCACTTTCAGATCATAGAGTCTAGATCTCAGTGTAGCGATGGTCATGTTCCTACAAAAGAAACATGAGTCATCCACGAGTGCTGCTTTTGCATGCTCAAAGCCCAGACACACAAAACAGCACTCGTGCCCATCAGAAAAACACGGGTGAGACATCTTTAAAAAGACGAGCACCGTGCACTCTTTCAGGAGAGGAAGCTCTACAGCGCTGAGGCGACCAGGGAGAAAACACAGAGTCCGGCAGACCGCAACACAGACCGCAGGCAAAGTGAAGACTCGCTGGGTACAGCCGTCACACAAACACTGGAGAGCCGCTCGTCTCAAAGAGGTGAGTCACTTGTAAACTCAGATCTTGTGGCTTGTGGAGTGAAGAGATGCTCTTGGCTCCGAAGCGAAAACATACTGCGGTGGCGTCCGCTTCCTCCTTTTATACTCACGGGGTGAGGCGGAGATACGCTATGCAAATTCCGCAGACCCATGGCATTTCTTTGCCATTGGCTCGTTTTTTTAATACTCGAAGATGATTGGCTTTCTATGCGAAACCCCCATTCTCCGTCATCCGACGTAACTCGGAGTGACCACGAAAGGGAACCTGGTTGTGTTCTTTGATACCAATTTTTCATTTGTATGTCACGTGTCTAGTATCTGTAACAGATTTTTTTCATCCGATCCCCCTACTGATCTTTCCAGTTGAATTAATAAAGATTTTTTCATAAAGATTTTTTCATAAATTTAAGTTTTGATTTGTTTATTTTTTTAATTTTCAGGTTCAAGAGAAAACCCAGATGAACTGAGGATTGTTCTGCTGGGAAAAACTGGAGTTGGGAAAAGTGCAGCTGGAAACACAATCTTAGGTAGAAACGCATTTACAGCAGAAACATCTCAAGAGTCCGTGACTAAAGAGAGTCAGAGAGAAACATCTGACATCAACGGCCGACACGTTACTGTGATCGACACTCCAGGACTGTTTGATACTCAACTCACTAATGAAGAGATCCAGAAAGAAATCAGACACTGCATCTCCATGATCCTGCCGGGACCGCATGTGTTCATCATTGTGCTCAATTTAGGACAACGGTTCACTCGAGAAGAAGCAACATCAGTGAAGATCATCCAAGAGACGTTTGGAGAGAAATCTTTAATGTTCACCATGGTGCTCTTCACCAGAGGAGACTATCTGAAGGACAAAACCATTGATCAGTGTTTGGGAAAACCTGGATCTCCTCTGATGAACCTGATCGAAGCGTGTGGAAACAGATATCATGTGTTCAACAATAATCAGACTGGAGACCGAACACAGGTGTCTGATCTACTGGAGAAGATAGACCACATGGTGAACGCAAACGGAGGGAGTTTCTACTCCTGTAAGATGTTCAGAGAGATGGAGAGAGAACAACAAGAACAACAGATGAAGATCCTGATGGACAGAGTCAGAGAAACAGAAGAACTGGTGAACAAACTAGAAGAAGAGAAAGAGAGAATGAAGATGATGATGGAGGAAGAACGACAGAATCATGAAGAAGAGAGAAAGAGAAGAGAAGAGGAACTCAAAAGAGAAATAAGAGAACAAGAGAAACGAGAGATACGAGACGAGATGAGACGAGAACGAGAGAAATTTAAACATGAAATAGAGGGAACGAGACAAGAAAAGGAGAAAATAAAAACAGAAAAAGACCAATTACAGATAGAAATAGACAAACTGATGAACAAAATAGAAAATGACAGACAGGATCATGAAACTGAGAGAAAGAGAAGAGAAGAAGAGTTTAATGAGAGAGAAGAACAATATAAAAGAGAAATGAAAGAGAAAGAAGAGAGTGTGGAAAATGTGTGTGAGGAGATGAAGAGAGAACGAGAGGAATGGGAGAAACAGAAACTAGAGGAAAAGAAGAGGAGAGAAGAAGAAGATGAGAAAAGAAGAGAGAAAGAACAGAGAGTCTGTGATGAATTTATTGAGAGACTGAAAGAAGAGAGAGAGAGAATGGAAAAAGAGAAAGAAGATCTTCAATCTAAACATGAAGAGGAAGAAAAAAAATTCAGAGAGAGAGAAGAAAAGGAGAGTAAAATGCTTGAGCAGATGAAACAGGAACGACTGCAGAGGGAAAAACAAACACAAGATTTAACACAGAAAAGAGAAGAAAAGAAAAAAGAAAAACAGAAATCTGAACATCACAAGAAACAAAGTCCAGTTCCTGATCACACAAATAGTAAGTTCAACTTCATATTCAAAACAGTAAAATCCAATAAATTACTTAATAGCAACAGAAAAGTGTGTTTTTGATGAAGACTTTTAAGTCTGTGACTGATAAAACTATTAAAATAATCTCTTTAATGTAAATTATATCAAAGGCTTCAGTCAATTCTCAATATTCAGTGCTGGTAATGTTAAACAATACAGTTCACAAATTGACTGAGTATTGTCTTGTATAATAATTGTGGATAAAGTATCAAAGTTATGTCAAAGAAGCATCAGGTTGCAGGACACTGTTTTCTCTCGTGTTTCAGTGAGAGATCTGAGGATTGTTCTGCTGGGGAAGAGTGTGTCAGAAAACAGTCGAGTGGGAAACTTCATCTTGGGGAAAGATGTGTTTGACAGTGAAGTTCTACCGTTCCAGCCGTGCAGTCAGAGAGTTGGAGGAAGACTGAAGGACAGACGTGTGATGGTCATCAACAGTCCTCAGCTGCTCCACACACACATCTCAGTTCATCAGATCACACAGACCGTGAGAGAGTGTGTGTCTCTGTCTAATCCAGGACCTCATGCCTTCATACTCGTACTGCAGTATAAAGACTTCACTGAGGAGGACATGAGAAGAGTCAAACGAGTGCTGGAGAAATTCAGTGAAGAGGCCATTAAACACACTATAGTGATCACGACTGATAAAACGTCATGCATGTCATGGAGTCCTTTTTTTAAGAATAAATTGCTTTCTGAGTTAATAAAGCAGTGCAGAGGAAGACATCTGCAGATTGATAAAAGAAACCCAGAATGGCGATCAGAGATTTTCAAGAGTGTTGATAAGATACTCGAGGAGAACCAGGAAGACTATCTCACATGTGAGTTATTTCATGATGTTATAAGACCACCAGTAGATGAAGAGCTGAGCAGATCTGAGGAAGAAAATGAGGAGCATTATCAAGAAGATAAGAAAGAAAGACAGAAAGAGAGAAGTGATGAAGGTATTGTTCAAGGTCTTTTTTTTGTGCGTTTTCATAAATGAGCTTCTAAGGTTACGATAACTACAATTCAAACTATATTTTATTTTAACACAAACTGTATGAGGTTTTTGTATTTTTGCTATAAGGCCACTTTCATTACTCATTATAGTTACACTTATATTTACATGTATGCTCTTAATAGACTTTTAGTATTTAGTATTTTTGCCCAAATGCAGATATACAGTATAGTATATAAAGTCCAGTGTATGAATCTAAGTCATTGTAATCCACACATTTATAATATTACATAATGATCAGTTCACATGTCCTCCAAACATTTGAGTAATGCTCAAACACACAATATAGTGTATATTGTAAACTAATAAATTAAAGGTGCCATATGGAATAATTGAGGTAAAAATATCCAAAAATGAGCTACACTCATCAAAAGAATGAGAAGAAATAAGTGCAATGATGTCATTAAAAAACTGACAAGTTATAGTGCTGCCAAGATATAGAGGTCTTCACAGTGCACCCGAGACCCGTCGGGTCGGGTCCGAATCTATTACTTCGGGTCCCGGGTCTGTTTAACATTGTGTGTAATACCAACGCATTCTCATCCTTTAGCGTCATATAGGACGCGCTGTATAACAAAACGGCGAAATACTACTCACATGGCACCCGTTATCGTTAATATAACACGCGCTGAGAACGGGCTGGTAATACACGTGCGATTGGAGTGCAATCTCAAGCGCGTGTCATGTTTCTATGGCAACCAGAGCAGAGCTTCCGCCAAACCGCGCTTTGCATTTTCTCCAATGTTTATAATAATATTTAAATGAACCGTCTTGTTTAATCTTAAAGTTTTGGTGGTCAGATTCAGACTCAATGAAGAGCAGAGAGCACAGATATGATCAAGCTGAACAAGCAATCGTTATTATAGTTCAAAAGGGCAAACAGTTAAAGTTATTATGCGAGTCAGAATGTACATGTGCAAGGCTGCATTTTTCATCCATCACCGTGACATCAAGTGGACTTTTAAAGCTGAAATAATGAGTGGATTAAGCTTGGAAAAACGAGAGAAATAACATGGATAGAGCTTTCTTGTCGGTGGCTTGCAATGCATCACAGTCAGTCAGATAACGTCAGGAAGTGAGACGACGGCTACTAAAATTAGGTAAGACAAAAAGTTTTATTTTTCGCAACTCGTGTGAAATAATGTGTGACAATCGGGTCCAGTCGGGTTTGTGTCTTCCTGCCGGGTTCGGGTCCAGTTTTCAAATAATAGACGGGTCCAGGTCGGGTCCGGGCAGTACATTTATGGCATTTCTCGGGTCTGCACGGGTCCGGGTCCAACTTTTGAAATGAACGATGGGTCCGGGGTCGGTTCGGTGTAGCACATTACGGGTCTCTTACGGGTCGGGCATGAATTTTTGGACCCGTGAAGACCTCTACCAAGATATAACCTGAATTAGCATGCTAAATTACTAGCCCCGGCCCGGCAGGTGTCGTAATACCAGTTTCGGCCATGGGAGGCAGTATGCGGGCGGGCAACGTTACCACCAGCCAAACTGATGTACACGAGTGAGTCGCGCGGCTTGTGTGTACTTGAACCTGATGTCAGTCGTGTGGAAATACAGGCCACTACTACATTTCAGTTCAGGGAAGAGTTCAAAAAATGATTGGACATTATCCATGAGGAATACATTTTGGTAAGTTGTAGGATACTGCATCTTTCACCAGTGTTCATGTTCTTTTTCCATTAGCTAGTAGAGATGATCGGTTCACGTGCGTTAGGGATCTGTGGTAACATTTACAAGCGCCAAAACTGCATTTGTTGTTTGAGTTGCGTAATAAAATTGACAGAATCTGAGAGCTTAACTAACCTGCTTGCTAAGTGTCAATTGCGTGTGTCTCACGATGAATTCGTGAGAGTTGGCAGCTCTGAATGGCGCTAGGTTGATCAACATCAGCGAATGCTGTCTGTCAAATTAATTCAAACTAACAAGAAAAGTGTAATATGAACAAAACGAATACCGTAAACTTCAAATAATTGCCCAAGTTTTTATTTTCCCATATCGTTGAAATGCATCAGCTTGTTTTTGAGACAGGCGTCTATGAGTCGGTCTTCATCATTTAGTGTTGAGATGCTGTTCATTGAGTCTCTGATCTCTAAAAATCTCCAAATGCTCCACGTGAAACTGCGGTCTTCTGACCTTTTACTATTGTGTCAAATGATTTGAATAATATGCGGAGAAAGAGAGCAAAACAGCGCTCGCTCGTGTTGTTTGAAGACGTGAGAGTGCGTGCAGCCGCGGCACAACTCATTTTCTGGAGGTATACTGCCCCCATCTGTTATGGAAAATGGAATATGATTAGATTTTATATGCAAGATGGCACCTCTAAAGCCAGGCAGGGTCGAGTCACCTTTGGCTAAACAAGCTCAACTTAGTACACATTTGATAGGCAATGTAGAATGATATTCAACTTCTTATTTTGAATCTGCATGCATCTTTAATATAATACAAGTGTAAATGCTGAGGATTTTCTCCCACTTCAAGTGTTCACACCCGGTATGGTATGTGTGTTAACATTTTATTTGAAGGTCCCTTAATGTGTTTTTCAGTGTCAGAAAATGTCTTTGGAAAACAGAAGCTGAACCTGGTGCTGTGTGGAAGCAAGGGATCACTTACAGTCTCTGTGTCCAAACTTTTACGAGGGAAAACATGCGATCCTTCAAATCAGAAGGCGAACAGTGAAGAGTGTGTGAAGAGAGAGGAGAGGATACATGATCGTGTGATCAGTCTGGTGGAGCTTCCAGCTGTCAATCATCTCTCAGAAGAAGAAGTGATGCGTCAGACTCTCCGCTGTGTGTCTCTCTGTGATCCTGGAGTTCATGCTTTCCTCCTCATTATTCCTGTTGGTCCACTGACTGATGGAGACAAAGCAGAAATAGAGAAGATCCAGAAGATATTTGACTCCAGACAGCACTTTATGGCGCTCTTCATCTCAGATATCAGTGTTGAAGATCCAGTGACAGAGTTTGTCAAATCCAGCACAGATTCTCGGAGGTTAATCAGTCGTTGTGGAGGTCAGTACAGAGTGATGGAGTTAAAGGAGTCTGAAAACTCAAGACAGATCCCAGAACTGCTGGATTATATAGAGAAGATGAAGACTGAACCATATTCACTTCAGATGTATGTGAAAGCTCAAGAGAAGAGAGTCAAGCATGAAACTGTGGAGAAATATATAGAAGAAATGAAGAGACTGGAGAATGAATTAAAAGAGTTACAAGAGAGGATTCAATCAGACGGTGAGTTGATGGACCTTCTTGATGTAAGGATACACTGGGTAATATTCATTCACTAATAATTGCGTGGATTGTTTCATATTTTAGAAGATCTTCCTACGAAAAAATCTCTGCGTAATTCACATCACGTTCGTACGCACATAAATTTGTTCTTAACTAGATCCCAATCGATATGGATTTTGGGGGGCCGATACAGATATATCGGCCGTTATTATTTATGTGTATATTATAATACATTAGCAATATTATATATGTGTATTATAGTACAGTTACAGTACCATTTAAAAGTTTGGATACACTTTCTTGGTGTGTACAAACTTTTGATGAGTACTGTATATAGAATGCACAGTATAATCAGAATAAATATATAAATGTTTTGCAATGATCACTCAGATATGGCGATCAAACACTTGAGTGACAAAGATAAGTAATGGAGACAGGGTGAATGATAGAATGAGAATGAGACATTTGAACTGTAACCAAACTAGTTCGCATTGCATGTTATATTATTTTATAAATACTGTTGCATAATCTTCACTAACGACTTTGTCTTTTAATTTAGTCACGTTATATAAAACATAACTTGTATCAATAAATATATCAAAAGTGTCACTGACAAAACCTTAATATCTTCTATTTTTAGTCTTTATTCCTCTAATCTCTAGTGGAGGAAGAACTCAGATCTTTTTACTAAAGTAAAATTAATAACATAATGAAAATGTTTTTAATTATGTACAGTACTTTACTTTTATACTATTCTTAAATAGTAAGCAAAATGTACTAAACGTGAAACATAGTGTTATAATCATATAAATTATTGCCGGTGTAGCGTTATAGGCAGAATGAACTTTAACACTGTGTCTACACCGGACGCAACAGCCGTTTACCCGAGACGCAAAAAGTGCCCGTTTCAAAGCAGAATGAGGCATCCGTTTACTGTGCGAGATTTGTCGCTCGCACAACGCATTTTAAAGGGGTCATATAATGGTATGTGCACTTTTACAAGTTGATTGTACTGCAATGTGTGTTGTCAGTGCCTGTACACAACGATCATTTAATGATAAAAATCCATCCAGTGGTTTTGTTTTAATCTCCTTATTTGTTTTCCCCTGCCTCAAATCGAGCCCCTCCCGCGGTTGTTGATAGACAGCAGTGTTTCAACACAGACCCGCCCTGAGCGAGCTGTCATCATTGTTGATACACAGGAGCAGAATGGCGTCTAAGCAATTGTGTTGTTCTGTTCTTGGGTGCAATAACAAACACAGAAATCATTCTGATGTTCCTAAATTTGAACCGCTGAAGACGCAGTGGCTGAGTTTTGTTTACGAAGGGAATATTCCCCACGATCAACGTCAATACTTTCTTGTTTGCGCAAATCATTTATCACCAGACTGCTTTATAAACGAGGTACGAGGATAAAGCTGGTTTTGCTAAGAAGCTGCTCTTGAAAAAATAATCAGTACCAACTGTTTATGTTCCCTCTGCACCTAAAGTTTTATTAATCTTTATATTAATCTTTGCAAATCGCAGGGAAAAAGGTTTTCATGACCATTATTGTAACGTCAATCTATCAATGAACTAACGTATCAGTAAACACACATCGTTCCTATCTCACTACTACCCTGCCAGTGCATACAAAGATTGATCAAAGTAACATTACGTTACCCAACCATTCAGAAACATCCTCAAGCCTTAACTGCAGCTGTCATCTTCTGGTGAACACTGAACTCTTGTTCCCCCCGTATGTAAAGTGGTTTAGGACTAGAAGAGTGGAGAAGGGGTGGAGGAGGGATGCTGCTAAACTGTCAGAGAAATGAGGTGAGATTACTGAGTCTATATATACGTGCTTTAATCATGATTGCTGAGTGCTCTCCACCCGTGTTAATTATCTGAACGTGCTTCTCCCGAACTTTGTTAATAAAACATCATTTCTTAATTCTTGACACCTAAAGAACACAGTGAGGTGAGGATGAGACTAAATGGATGGGGAAGGCCTATGAGGGAATCTTCGCCCAAGGGGTGACCCCGATAGCAAACTGACATTGAATCAACGTAGAAACATGACATCGAAACAACGTTGATCTGAGTAGTTATATAGGCTCCCATGTGTCAAAATGATTTATGGCTTTTTGATTGACAGGGGGGCGGGGCTGGCCTTTGACCTTCCGGATGTCATCTTTGAAGTGGTCATAAACCTTTGACCTTTGACATACCGTGTCTGGGATATCGATTAACCTTTGACCTAACGATCAATCAAATGGACAGGTGGTGTTGACCCGTTGACCTTTTGCGTTCCATCTCAGGAATATCGATTAACCTATGACCTTTCTAATCCAAAAAACATGTGCGTGTGAACATGTGTGGTTTTGACCGGATGACCTTTTTTAATCCAAAAAACATGTGTGTGAACATGTATGGTTTTGTCCTCTTAGTGACCCCAGGAAGCGATCGATCAAAATGGACAGGTTGACCCCGGTTGACTGGTTTTATCATTGATGTAGCCCCCTCCCATACCAGAAACCCGTCTATAAATGGGTGGTCTCTGTTCTACAGAATTCACAGAGGGAAACATGAGTTACATGACTATGGACGCTTTATCCTTACCTAAAACCCCCGAGATCGATCTGAGTAGCATGATGGAATAATTTTCTAATATAGCCCGTATCACAATAGGATCTGTAAAATAAAAGCGGCTTACTTGAGTGCTGATGACCCCCCTCTGATTCTCTCACCGGCCTTCGGCCCTGTGACAGTCGGGCTGTGAGATGGCTGAACATTCCTTCAGCCAAAGAGAAAAAATCTTACACGAGCTAAAAAATGAAACCGTGTTTTAGATTATAAGGAAAAAACATTTAGATTTAAATGTGAAAAAGCATCTTACTTTATTTCCATAAAGATGTGAAAAAACTCACATCAGCAGAAGCATCTGTGAGCCTGTATGTTTGTGTCTGTGTGTCTGTAACAGCATTACATTCCTGCATCCTGTGCTGAAACAGAAAAGTTAAAACTTTAACTAAAGTTAAAACCATGGTTCATTTAAAAAGAATATCGATAAAATGCTTAATCATTCATTGTAAAATAAAACAACATGTTTTATAAATTATAAGTTGACTAAGAGTCTATCAAAAATAAAACCATCTTACTTTTTTCCAGCTGGTCGACAAAGTACTTCCTAAGATCCCCATACAATACATGGATGGTTTACAAAAGATGTAAAAGATGAGTTTAAAGTTGTGAAGATCTCCCTGTGATTCTCTCTCCCCCATGCATGGCCGGAGTGGTGTGTGTGTGTGTGTGTGTGTGTGTCTCTGTGTAATAAATGGCAATAAATTACTTTAGACCTCTCTGAATCCTCTAAGTCAGAGGGACCCTCTCACACTTATTTCTCTGTGTGTGTGTGTGTGTGTGTGTGTGTTACATTATACCCCTTTAAGTGAGGACGATATATTTCACACTAAACATTAAGCTCTATATAAATGAAAATAGTTATAAATTTACATCTAGTAATTTTACAAAATTATTATTATTTAACACTAACTAGAGTTGAAAAACATTGATCTTCAAAAGTATATAAATGAAATGGTAATAAATGTGCAATTATTAATTTACAAATATAACATTTCACACTAACTGAGTTGAAGTTGAACAACATTGTTCATTTAAAAGTATATCAATTAAATGCTTTTATCGTTCATTTCAAAAATAAGACTAAGATCTTAAGACTAAGATCTCCCACAAGTGATCCTCTCTCCCCCTCGCTTTACAGGCATGCATTGTGTGTGTGTGTGTCGGTTCAGCGGAGACATTCCATATGTTTGATTAGTGTTAATCTTACTTCATAGTATAATCATTAAAAGTTTAAATGATATCTTTTAAAAATACCAGATGTTTTAAAATAAATTAAATTAATTCATAAAACAAATATGCTACATCAGCGGTCTATGGAAAAACTTGACTATATTTTTATTTATCAGGGTGCATGTAAAAAATTCGATCTCTCACAAGTCATCTCACACATTGTGTGAAATGTTCAATAATTCCTTAAGTAGTATCTCTGCGAAAATCACCACATAGGTCTATCTTTAGTGCGAGAGCACCAATGAAGACATTTTAGAAACTGTGATGCCAAAGGCCGGCCACCCATTAGCTTCAGGATAGTGACAGAGCAGATGAGTCTCTGTGCATCGCCGAGTCAAAGTTTTGTTCGTACTAGAATTATTTCGAATCATAATCGTAAAAGTTTCAAGCTTTTAAAATGAAAAGATTGTTTAAATTAAATCTTTATAGTTTTAATACAATCATATCTTCTATTTCTTTTAAAGATTACTCTAATGATTTTGTTTAATGCAGACCTAAAAGTATTTTTATTAATATAGCCATAACAATTTTTGTACTGTAACTGCGTATTCTATACCATACACCTAAAACTCTACCGTCAGAGAAAACTGGATTTTTACATTTTCAATAAATAATTGAATATAATTTATAATAAAGCTGTTTTGCACTCACAAAGCATAAAATCTCTATTTTTTAAATCAAATGATTATAAATTAAATGATATATAACTCTATAATGAATAATAACACATATGTTACTAAAATGTATTTGTACAAATTAAACATAGTTTTATCCAAAGAATATATCAATTACATGTATAATTACAAAAACTCATTCTATGCAAACTAGATCTAGGCAATGATAAAGACTATGCAAAAGCAAATAGTTTAAGCTGTCATAAACAAAGACCTCTCATATCCGTTAGTGATAGGGTGAGATGAAGGTTCAGACCCTCACAGAGACGAAGGAGTTACAGGCCAGATGAGCCACTGGGCCACAATTATGTCATGTTATTCTAAATATTTATTCTAAATTCACTTAAAAGCATAATCTTAAAAGTTTCAATTAGATCTTTTAAAATTAAAAGACTGTTTAAAGTTTTTATTAAAGTCCTATCATCTGTTTATCTTACAAGATTTCTTTATGATATAAATAGGTTTCCATAA